AAAAATGACTCATTGATCCCTTTGTTAACGAAAAACTTCGAAATTACTATAAGTAGTTATCCCTACGATTTCGTCACGTTGTTACGAATAAAGGCGAATTTCCGTGTCATAAAATCATAAATGAATATGTAATGATGTACTGTACCATATTGGATCATGATTGAGGTTAAATATCGATCGTATGAATAGGATAATATCATTGCATAGAATAATTGTATACGTACGTACTCTTTGTTTAGCAATCTATCTAAAGATCCCTTCATTAATGTATGCTAACAAAGAATGCTTTATCAATATGAGTTAACAAAGGGGCTAATCCTTGTAATCCTTGAAGGATGTAATGCTGATAGTAGAACAGGACATTCTCCTCTGTCTTCTATTCTTTAGATTGGTATCTTCGAAATTTATCGTCTGGCAATGTTTTTGGAATTCTTTCTATGCATTAATTTGTCTTTTTGTAAATCTTAATGATTATATTGCACTAATATTATATTTATCTAATGGTTTTGCAAATTTCCCAAGTTTGGAAAGCCAAGTTTGAGATAAAAATAAAAACAAATCTGCAACTGTTTGCCACGTTGCGTAAGATATTTCTAAGAATACAAGAATTTTCCACTTTATAATGCCACGAGCCGGGAGATCGACCGGAAGAAGTCATAGATTTACGGTTAAGTCAATTTGAAAATTCCAAAACCGAAGAAAAGTGTCTAGATTTCTGCGTTAGTCCACAGTAACTACCAAAGGACGTTTGTAGCGATTACTGAAAGAAGTATCGGATACTGTGGAACCCTCTGAATTTTTGCCTGCTAATGAAAAAATGGCTTGTTACGAGAAACTTCTCTATCGACTGCAATATACAACTCGATCCATCATTCTTGCAATAAATCAGAAATGGTTGAGACTAATTAAACAATGCTTGATGATAAACAGGAAAAGAATGAGCAAGTGTAAGCATAAATTGTAGCTGGTGAGCATAGCTTCATTAAGGTAATGGGGAAAGGTAGAGTAATATTAGTAATGTTAGGGCATTTTGTTGCCACTACTTCTCTGTATCAAGTGAAGTTCGGTATATTAAATTACCTTACCTAAAAATGTAAAAATTCTCTGATGAATTTCTAAAATGGCCTGCCTTCTATGCAAATTTTCAAATTGCTGTGGAAATCAAAACATTCCTACAATACAAAAATTATCCTATCTTATTAGATATTTGACTGGAAAACCTATGGGAGCTATTTCTGGGTACGCTGTTGCATCTGAAAATTATCCAGTAATAATAAATATACTCAGATATAAATTTGAAGATCAGAGAGCAATCCATCGGCAGCTGTACTATGAACTAAAAAGACTTCCAACAGCCGAAAAGAGCAAAGACAGTAAAGATTTTCCATCAACTTGTAGAAAACTTGGAAAAAATCCTACGGTAACAGGGAACATTGGGAGAAAATTTGGAGTATCCAAAAATTAAAACAGAAATTGGGTCGAAACTACCACGATGGGTTTTGCAGGAAATCTACTAAAACCGTCTCGGTTCATGGTGTTTGACAAAACTAAGAAAACAATTAGAACTAATAACAAGAGGAATGAAAGTATGAATTGAATACAACAAGAGATTAGAAGATCGAGTCAGACTTATACAAGAAAGGAATCAAAATCAAGTAAGGGAATCAAGTCGAGAACAACATAAAACCTCGCTGTGTTTACTGCTATGAAAAGCTTTTTTAAGAGACCTTGTATCTTTTGTTAAAATGGTGAATGTAATGAATATAGAACGGTCGATCAAAGACTTGTCAGAGTTCGAGAATCACATCTGTGTTTCCGATGTTTGAGAAAATATAACAGCAGGAAATGCAACTGTAAAAAAAGTATGCTGCCATTGTAAAGGTCAACACAATTCTGCACTGGGCAAAAAATCTCAAAAAGATGAAAGTGACAATTTGAGGTAAAAGAAAAAGAAACATCGTAAATTGAGAAGTGAAAAATAAAACTTCAACAACTACTGTTAAATTAATAAGTGAAAAGGATAGTAAGAAGACGGTTCTTTTGCTGTGTAAAGATGTAACAATCATTAATCCAAAGAATAATAAACAAGCAATCGTGACAACTTTTCTGGATATTGGATCACAATTGTCTTCTGTCACCAACGAAGTTTATAAGCAATTGGAACTGAAAAAAAAAGGAGAGCAAGCTGAAATGTTGAAAATAGAACATTTCGTTGGAGAGGAAGTCGAAGAACATTGGACAGTAGTAGTGATGAAAAGAAATGATTGATTATGTTGAAATGATCACTATTTCACTTCCTTTCAGCTAACAATTGAGAAAGTTCATCAATTTTTGAACATTACAACAAAAAGCAAAGAATCTAAGCTTCTTTAAAATTTGAAAAGAAAAAGATAACTTTGTATTTAAATTGTTTACTTCAGCTTTCTTCCCTTATTAAATTTAAATATTTCAAATTTAACTGGATTATAATATGAATACAAAGAAAAGAAAACTAGTAATAACAGGGGAATGTAATTGAATCAACCTTTTTTCCTTCACTAAGTTTAAATATTGCAAATTTTGAAATAAGCTTGTCTTTCAAATTCTTTACTTCAGCTTTTTTCCTCCATTAATTTTATGAACAATATCTTAACTTCGATCGTAATATGAATATAAAGAAAAAGCGAATACTAGCAAAGAAATATAATTATTTTAGGTCTTTTTCTTATTAGATTTAAGTATTTCGGTTTTCGAACTTTTTAAATGTTGTTTAAATTAGATTATAACATAAATAAAACGAAGGAAAAACGAGTAGTAGCAATGGAATAAAAAAT